CACCCCCCGAAACATCAGTTAGTATTCCATTCAATGCAAATAGAATCAACAAATAAGATAGAAAAAAAAAACAAGTACCGAACTCTCGAAGCCATAAATAAATTAAAAGAAAAAAATGCAAGAAATGAAATTGAAAATGAGAACAACAATTAAAGATTTAAAATCACACACCGACAAAAAAAATGGGCAGGCAACGTGCATAACTCGTAACAGAAAATGTAATGTACATGAAAAGTCGTGAACTATGCGAAGTACCTGACAGGCTGAAACTAATATCACACATGCAAAATGCAACATGACACAATGTATCGTACTGCTAATGCACTGGCACCACATGTCGAAAAAAATACAAGAAACAATAGTTTATAAGTCGTGTCGTAGCTGCCTAAATGATACAAGAAAAAAAAAATATTGTACAGTCTGAACTCAGTCTGGTGCAACCGATGACACTCTACGAACACCCTACTGGCACCAAAATCATACTCTACGAACACCCTACTGCTACCAAAATCATACACACCAACAAGTAAAGCACGCACACAACCACTGAGTGTCTGACAATACTGAGACAAGACGAGACGGCTCAAACTACCAAAAAAACTACAACCGCACAACATGACGACGTACAGTGCGAGTAGGGGAGAAGCGGATTGTTGGCCTCATCGGTCAACGACCCTTCTTCCCCTCCCCGCTGTGTCTCCTCGTGCCCCCTCGAGTGCCGGATGTCGACCTCTTCCTCCCTCGTGAGGATGAAGAAGTCCGTGCAGCGGAGCATCTAGATGCACGTGTCGGTGGGGGTCCTGGGGGAGGTGGGGGCTCATCGTAGTCGTCGTCGTCGTCACCATGGGAACCGCTCCTGCTATCCCCCTCTCCCCCCTCCTCGCCCTCGTAGTCCTCGTCCGCATCCTGCACAGCCGCATCTGTATCAGGATCATCCTCCTCGATGGTGACTAGGTCTCCTCCCTTCCTCAACACAACAACCCTCGCACTAGCCTCGACAATGGTCTGCTCACGGCGGGATCCACGTGGCATCCCCAACCCCTCCGCCCCCGAACTCTCTCCAAGTGCTGCGCCTCCCTCTACAGGCACGGGGCGTGGACGAGGAGGCACTCCACGCTTGCGTGGAGTCTGCTCCTATACGGCACGCGTCGCTGCTCTCAGAGCGTACTCCAAGGTCTCGGGACTCCTCTGCCACGACCTCGCTGAGGCTCACAACCTGATGCCGGTACCTCCCTCGCCGCGGTCGTCCTCGCGCCTCCTCCTCCCAAGCCCGACTAAAGGCGTGCAGTGTGCTCCGTGACACAGCGGGTGGAATCAAAGTCTATATCTGTCCTCCCGAATATCGTTGTGTCACAGACGTCCTGCTGAACTGTTGCCGTATCACGAATCCTAGATGTCCCAGGCGTGTGTGGGGATCGAGAGCCTCTGCCTGTGGGCGACAATGATGGATCACCTGCAGGTGCTCTGGGTGGAGGGGGTGGCATGTCTCCTGTGCGTGTCGCTGTCTCCGTCACGCCACCCGAAACCCCTGGAACATGTCCCGCGGTATGTCCTTCGGTGGAGGTAGACCCAAACCACACAGGCGACGCAGGACCCCATGGAACCGAAGGGATCGTCTGCCATGGTGGATGCTCGAGCCTGTGGTCGAAGATCCGCCGGTCCAAGCGAGTAACATCACGCACAGCCTCTATCGCCAACTCCTCTGCATCCAACGGACGACGGACCTCCTGCGGAGCAAAGTGGCTAGGAAGACGTGGGGGCACAACCACCGGCTCGGACCCCAAATC